AAAGCCTCCCTTATGACTTCGGTGTAGTGCACCTTGCCCATGGCATCACCATGACTCCACAGATACCCACTTTGTGGGCCGTGGGACACCTGGCAATCTCCTCTGGTGTCGGCACACACACAGGGACACGCAATCCCACATATGCAACAACAATAACAATGATAATTCGGTAACTTCAAATACTTTTTTTTTTTAAAGCAGAATCTCACTATGTGGTCCTGGCAGGCTTGGAATTCTCTATGTAGACCAGGCTGGCCTCCAACTCAGATCTGCCTCTGCCTCCTGAGTGCTGGGATTTAAAGGTGTTGCCATGACCAGCAATAAGTACAGTTTTGGAAAATAAGACCCATGCTATTTCTGATGTGACAGAAGCATCTTTTGCTACAATAAGATGATTCATGGAGGCCTCCCAGACGGCCCATATTTTGATCACAAGGATGTCCAGTCACAATTTGGAACTGGCGATTTTCAGCCCCACCCCATCCTCTAGGAGAGGAGAGACCGTGACAATGTGGCGGTGCCAATATGAAGACCCCCGTATAAAGCGGGCTGGGCCTCGGTGGTAGAGCTTACCAAACAGTCAAGGTCCGGGATTCTACCCTTAGCACCTCCCCTCAAGTCCCTAAAGAGGGAGGCTCAGAGAATTCCCACGCTGGTGAGCTTGTCCATGTGCCAAAAGGTGACACTCCATCCTCCCAGGGTGGGAAGCTCTTGGACTTTACACTCAGCTGATACATTTCAGGGGCCTTTTCATGTGACAACCTGTGTCCTTTATCACATTAGTCTCATTATTTTAATATAGAACAAACAGAGGCAGGTGATGGCTCAGTGGCTAAAGGTGTCAACTGTCAAGTCTGATGGCTTGAGTTCAATCCCTGGGATGGTAAGATGGAGGGCTAGAGCTGATTCCTCCAACTTATCCTCTGACACACACAGACACACACATACACTCACAGACACACATATACAAACATGGACACACACACACAGATACACATATACGTGCATACATACACACAGACACACACATATACTCACAGGCACACACATACACACACAGACACACAGAGACACATATACATGCATACATACACACATACATACATACACACAGACACACAACACACACAGACACACATACACACAGACACAGACACACACATACATACACACACACTGTAACAAAGCAAAACTGTTTTAAATAAATAGAACGAACAAATCACTGGCTGGTGATCTTAGTTTATGAGGCAACAGAGAGGTATTGAACTTGAAGAGGGGACATGAGGCCTTCTCGCTTTCGCATTGTGGGTAATCTGGAGCCTCATTTGAGCCTGGCATCTGGAGTCCGGCAGCCCTTACCTTGTCTTCCCTCTCTGGCGCACTAACTCAGGTCTCACAACGAGTGGGAAAATTTCCAGGCTCTTGTGTCCCCGGACAAAGGACTCAACCAGAGACACATGATTAGACATAGAAACAGAATAGAGACAGGTTATTATGAAAAGGAAGGCAGGCTAATGAGCTGGGAGAAGGCAGACACTCCAAAGTGCTGGTCCAGGGGCCAGCAGCATGGCTCAGCAGATAAAGATGCTTGCTGTCAAGTTTGAAGACCTGAGTTTGATTCCCGGAAGGAGACAACTGCCACCGCAAGTTTTCCTCCAACTTTCTCATACATAAGGTAGCATGTGTGTGTGTACACCCACATAGCAAACAAACAAACAGACAAGTGCCCTTAAAGAAAGCGTGCTGGGCCAAGAGACCCAGGACCTTTCTGTGGTCACTTACATAGCACCCACAACTTCCTCCTTTGCTACTGCAGGCCTTTCTCCCACGTGCTTGCTGTATGAAGCCCAGCTGGGGAAGAGCTTCCTGTTTTCCTACTAACTGGCATCATGTTAATCTTGATGATGCTCTTCCAGGCTCTACTCTCCCGCCACATGAACTGAGAATTCGTAGGACACCCAGTTGGTGTCTAGAGGGTTGGAGCACTGGTCAGTGCCAGGAGGCAAGCATTGTGTATGGTATAGAGAAAAACAGGGTCCAGGCTGAGAATGTAGCTCGGCTGGTATGCCTAGCATGCACATGGCCCTGGGTCCGACCCCAGCATTACATAAACTGGGTTTAGTATGCATTCCTATAATCACAGCCCTCAGGAAGTGGAGGAGGAGGAACAGAAGTTCAAGATCACCCTTAACTGCAAATGAAGTTCAAGGCCAGCCCGGGCTACAAGGAGAATGTGGCTCAACCTACAGACCTATGGTGTGGGCACCTGAGCTCTTTGCCTCTTTTCAGTGGGTCTCAGTTGCCCCAGTAGCAGCAGGAGTCACAGAGATTAGACCAGCAGCTCTGAGCTGTTTTCCTAGTGAGGGGTTGGAAGGCTGTGTCTACATGCTACCAGCCTCCATAACACGCCTCTGCAGGTGCGCAGTCAGTCGGAATTCCCACCACAGGGCCACAGCTGTGCCACACAGGAGCCTGGCGCCCATCCTCCTCAGCCCTGCCTGACCGTGGGCCTCTTTGTGTCCAGCCCTGGCCACCCCGGACTGCCCTCCTGTTTTGTATATAAACATTGCCCTTCCTTGGGGCTTTGGAAACTGCACGCTCACTTTGTCTTTTCAATAGCAACACACTTTTTTCTTAAAGGTGACACTGGGTGTTTGAGTTTGCCACACAAGTAGGGGCCTTGGAAAATTCTGGAAGTAGGAGACAGTCTCCCTCTCTCAGCTCATGTCTCCAGCAGCTAGCTAGCTACTGTAGTGTCTGGTACTCCACATTGTGAGCTCAGGAGAACTACCGGTTGAAAAAGAGAATGAACGAATTATGAAATAGCCCCTAAAGAGCATCCTGTTCACAGTTCATCTTTTCTTCTCTTTCGTCTCCCCATCCCCTTTCTTCCAAGCTAAGGCTCTTCTGCTCCGATGGCCCCTCCTCCCCACTGCTTTTAATGAAGCAGAATTGTAACTTATTATTTTAACTTTGTTGTTGTTGTTGTTGTTAGAGCCAGGCTTTCACTATATAGCTTTGGCTGACCTGAAATTTGCTATATAGATAAGAATCTATCACAGAGATCTGTCTGCCTCTGTCTCTTAAGAGCCGGGATTAAAAGTGTGCACCCCCACACCTGGCTTACTATAGATTTTAAGCAAGAAGGCTGGCACAGAAGAGGGGTGCTCAGAAATAAAGGACACATCTCAGAGCATCGGTCTGGGCTCCCCAAGGAAGAGTTACCTTGGTTTTGTTGTCATTGCTTGAACAGGGTCTCAGGTAACCCAGGTTGGCCTTGAACTCTCTGTGTAGCTGAGATGAGCAGGAATGGCTGATCCTCTGGCCTTTATCTCAAGTTCTGGGATTACAGGCATGTATTATCGTGTCCAGTTCATGCAGTGCTGAGGATCAGGGCTTTGAACACGCTAGGCAAGCATTCTACCAACGGGACCACATGCCCAGCCTCAGCCTCCTTTTGCACAGAAGGGCTGACTATGGTGTCTAAATAGAGGTGCCATGGACCTCAGTACCAGACTCAGAATGCAGCCATGCAGAACCAGTGTACGCAGCGTTGGTATTGTTCTTGTTCTTCTTTTCTTCCTTCCCTTCCTCCTTCACCCTCTTATGTGTATATGAACATGCATACATGTTCATGTGTGCACGTGTGTGCACACACACTTGTAAAGGTCAGAAGTCAATCCTGGGGGTCCTATTCTATCAATTATTTGATTTTTTTTTGAGAAAGGGTATCTATGTAGCCCTTGCTGCCCTGGATTCCCTAGTTATGTAGATCAGCCTGGCTCAAACTCAGAGATGCTCCTGCCTCTGGCTTCCTATCTCAAGTGCTGGGGTGGTTAAAAGCATATGCCACCACATCCAGCTCCCCTAATTTATTGAAAGTCTCTCAGTGAACTTGAAGCTCACTGATTGAACTTGCCAGCACCCCAGGGATCTGCTGTGTCCACTTCCTCAATGCTGGGATTACAAGAGTGAGACACTACCTCTGACTTTTTTAAATGAGGTTCTCATATTAAAATGGCAAACTCTTTATTGCTGAGCTATGTCCCCAGTCCTAAAAATTAAGTTTTCTATAGAGTAACTGTAGTCATATTGGGAACTCCAGGTCAAACGTGTCAGAGTTAAGTATAATTTATCTACATGCATTGGTCTGAAGCAGAAATTTGCAGTCCTCATTTAAAATTCATAATTATAATGAAACAGGAGGCTTAATTTTTTTTTGGTTTTTCGAGGCAGGGTTTCTCTGTGGTTTTGGAGCCTGTCCTGGAACTAGCTCTTGTAGACCAGGCTGGTCTCGAACTCACAGAGATCTGCCTGCCTCTGCCTCCCAAGTGCTGGGATTAAAGGCGTGCGCCACCACCACCCGGCTTAAGATTTAAGGAGACCAGAGGACATATGTCATGGTGTACCAACCAGGCCTTCCCGAGCTAGCTCTGCAAGCTCCGCATCTCTCTGGGAGGGTAAGAGCCATGTGTGACAGCGACAAAGGGGCAGCAGGATGTCACAGGTCTTCCATGACCTGACACATTCAACTCTGGGTTTTTCTGGATTTGTACCCAAAAGAATTAAAAGCAGGAATGCCCACCCATATGCAGAGCAGTGCTATTCACTATACCCAAGAGTGGGGGTCACCAGTTTCCATTTAGAGTGAACAGACACATACATGGTCCAACCACACAATGGAGCATCAGTTTTAAAGATGGAGGCGATCCCAATACATCTATACAAGACACATACCGGATTTCACTGAAACGAAGCCCCTAGATTCAGGCCTGCAGTAGGTGGGAGCTACTAAGGGGTGGGGAGCTACTGTTTAACAGCTACTGACTTTCAGTTCTGCAAGAAGGAAAGAACACTGCATAGGGGAGGCACGACTGTACTCAATGCTACCGAGCTGTGTCTCCAGACACTCCACAACAGTGAATTCATTTGCTGCAGTTCAGTAAACAAAGCAACTTGAGACCCCAGCCGCAGGGGTTTAGTACAAATGGTTTTATTTGCATTCTGACCCAGCACAGAGACCACATACAGATTTCTCATTTACAAGTGCAAAATATGCTTTATTTCAGGTACAAAAACAACAATAGCATTATGACAACTTGGGTTTCCATGGCCACCTCCCCATGACCTGTCGCACACATTTGACGGATCTGGACCACTCCCCAAAATTCCCCACCACCGTTAGAAAATAATCACCCCATCTGGAGGAAGAAGGTATGCCTCAGGAGAGAATCACGTGAAGCATGGATAGAAAAGAAGACAGTAAATACCCAGCAGAAGATGGGTCAGTGCATGAGACAGCCCCCTTTGCTTGTTTTTAGTACTCCAGCCCCATAAAGCTCTCTCCAGCAGTACTACCAGCCCAAGGACAAAGCCTCCGGACACCTAACAGACAGGGCCTGGATGGGACCTGGACTGGATGCCAGACACTCACTCATCCTGGCTCAGGCCATTACAGGCTGTACATTCCAGATCAAACCCCAAGATCAGGGTGGGTTTGGGTCTTAGCTACTGATGCATAATGTGTTTATCTTGGGGATGGGACTTACATCTAAATACAAAACCCATTTGTGTTTCTGCATACGCTGTGCACACGGCCCAAGGGTAATTCTGTTTATAGTGGACCCATGTTTTAAATGTGACCTGCCCCATGAGTCCTAGCATCGGAATTCTAGAGCTGGGAAACAGGATGCTCAAACTGCTGTAGTGTAATGACCTGGGTCTGTCCTGACTTTTCAATGGTTTCCTTGGCTAGAAACCTGGGCAAACTCGATGAGGTTTGTCTAAGTAGAACACAGGAGAGGGAGGTTCTGAGTGCCTGTTGCCGGCAGAAAACAGAGAGCCGGTGGGCAGTGGTAGCACACCTGGAGGCAGAGACAGGTGGAAAAGCCAAGGGGAAAAAAAGTTGAAAGATAAAGATAAGCATCGCTGGAGGACACACACTGTCCTGTGAGAACAGACCCAGAAGAAATCTGGGTCCAAGGAAGGCAGGAAGCTGCCCCGGCACTCACAACCCTGCAGGAGGGACCAGCACACATGGGAGGCGTCTGCAGGCTCCAGGGATGCTACGCTAACAGGGCTTTAGTCAAGGCACCAGTTAAAATCTGCCTACCTGTTCCAGGACGGGCTCTAGTGAGCAGCTCAGACCATCGCCACCCCTTACAGCTTGTGAATACTGCACAAAAAGTCCTTTCTTCTATCCAACCCTGGCCAGGGAACCATGACAAAGGCTGAGCAGGGCTCCAGGTAGCCGGGGGCATTTGAGGAAGAGACCTCTGTACTCCCATGGAGGGATTGGGCAGAGTCCGTGGAAGCTAAGTGAAGTTCAGAACTTTCCAGAATGAGACACACAGAAGACAAGGAGCATTCTAGACTTCTCTGAATATACCATCTACTTCTAAGTTTATACAGAATGCATTTGTTATTTAAGAAAGTCCCTAACACCTGAGACTGTCTTTAAATAATCCAAAGGGGAGAGGCTAGGTGTGCAGGTCAGTAGCAGGGGGTTTACTTTGCAGGTTTGAGACTCTCTGGGTTCAATCTCAGGAGCTAGGAACTAGCTCAGTGGTAGAACACTTGCCTCAAGTGTGAGCCCCTGGGTTCTAGCTTGCTCCCTATCACTGCAAAACAAAACATAACAAATATAAAGAAGGAGGGTTTAGGGAGTAAATATTTTCAGTATTTAAAGCCCAAGAGGTAAAATTATGTTGGCACAAGAGAAAACAAAATTCTATTTTTTAAAATAGCCCAGACTGGCCTCAAACCAATTACAGTACTATATTCCAGTCCCAGCATCACCACGAGATAGGCATTACAGGTTTGCACCACTACACCCAGCTCTCCACAGATGTATGCTGCTGGGGATAGAACCCAGGCCTTAATCACAGTTGGAAAGTACTCTTGCCATGAGCCACACCCCAGTCCTGCATGATTTAACATAAGCAATTCAAACAACAGTAATTTAGTATAATTTTTGATGACAGGGCTATCATTTCCTAAACTAGGTTTGAAGACAATGTTCTCTATTATCCAATCGGTGACAGAAACAGACTGACTTGTGAACATGTAGAAAGCTGGGGGTGCTTCCTGGAAGGAAAGGAGCAGAGACCCCATCATTCTAGCCCTTAGGAAAAACAGCCTGATGGTGCAGGCCAGGGTGTGTTAGTGCTTTACCATGGGTTTACAGGAGTGCCTGGCTGGCGGGGACCGCAGCAGAATCTTCCATTAAGACTGGTAGGATTTGGGGAGCTTGTAAAGGGAACTGGCTTTGACAGGGAACCAGGATACTTCCCAAGATCTTACTGGTTCTCGGGCCTAGTGGCCCTGTCTTTAAGGGGTAAAGAGAAGGAAAGTGGAGGAGAAAAAGGGTAAGAACTTTCCATACTGGCCAAATAGACTAGCTTGGATGACAGCAGCACCCGTGTTCAGAGGTGCACATGTGAGTGTGCCCGCACGCGCACACACTCATGTAGCTGCAGTCGCAGTCGGTGGGGAAGGCCTGGGGCTTGGTGAGCAGCCACAGCACCAGTGCTACTGTGCACACCCAGGACAAGCCAAGGTCGCCTCACCTGCCTACGCCTGACTTTGATGAATGGGAAACAACGCTAAGGCCTTGACCCCACTCAGATTCACCTGCTGTTTCCACGTTCTGAGGTCTCCAAGTCAGTGCTTATTTCATTTGGGGGGCAGAGCTGGGGTTCAAGCCCAGGGAAAACACTCTACCAAGGGGATATGCTGTTCACCTTTTATAAAGGGAGACCGTCACTCATGATGCAGCCTGGGACCCTTGACTTTTGGTCCTGTCCCTCCAGTGTACCTAGAACAGTGCCCACATTCAATTCCTCATGCCCCCACCAACCTCAACTTTCCACTGACAGCAGCTAAAGAGGCTTTCTATTTCTTACACTAACATGTTAATGATTTTCAGAACTTCAGTCACTTGGGCCAGCCCCTGAAGCAACGCTGGACTTAGGAACTGGTGACAAGCGTGTGGGTTCCTGCTTTTTCCCGGTAAGGATCTCTCTAAGTTAATAGCTCTGCTCAAGGGGCTCCAGGCAGACTGGGTAAAAGGTCACTAGGACAACACCTGACTTTTCTCTAGACCCCCACAATGATTCATCTTGTCAACTTGGTGGGATTTGATATCACCATGGAAACAGACCTCTGGGTATGTCTGTGAGGGTTTTCATTTCTATCCTTTTAATTTACTAAGCGAGAGCAAGAAAAACTATGCAGTCAAGTTCTGTGTTTGGGGGAAATCAGAAGCCAGGCATCCAGAGCATGAAGAGGCAACCTCCCCATGGGAAAACCATCTTCTTGGTCATGGTAAGTGTGTGAGGCGCTTTCTGGATTAGCTAACTGAGGTGGGAGGACCCACCCTGAAGTTCCCTGGGCTAGGGCTCCTGCCGCCTGCCTTCCCTGCCAGGATGGGCTGCAGGCTCAGACTGTGAGCCAGAACAAGCCCTTCCTGCTTTACGCTGCTTTAAGTCAGACAACAACAGTGAGAAAAATAACTAACACAGAGCCCAGGACAAGACTTGGGACTTCCCACACCATCTGCCACTTTTGCTCTCCATTTAGGCCTGATCTGGAACTTAGAAAGAAAGGTGTCAACACCCCCGTTTCTCAGAGTTAAAATTTAGTCTCTGTTCACGTGGCACATGTAGAACTATCACCTGGGTACAGTGGCCACAGATACCTCGATGGGCTGAAAGTCAGAGGCCCAAAATCTAGTTCTGCTCCTTCCAGTGTTGGACCCTGAGCTAACTGTTCTAAGTGACTTAGTTGCCTCTTGATGAAAACGTGGAAACATGGAAATGACTGGCTGTGGCCTTAGGGAGGGTAGGTCGTGCACCAGGAAAGGTAGTAGAACAGAGGAGTGTCACCCAGCCCTGCGGACAAGGACAGAGAGAACACAGGGCAGTGAGGTGACTGTAAGAGCAGGAGCCCCAGGTGCAGACGAGAAGGAGGAAGGAAGAGAGCAGCAGAGACTACAGCATCCCAGAGAGACCCAGGAAGAGAGCAGCAGAGACTACACCATCCCAGAGAGATCCAGGAAACAGGCCTCCAGAAAAAGCACCAGGCAATGGGAAAGTCCAGGTCTTTCAGTAATTAGGGATAAAAAAGCAGATGCTCACAAGCAAAAGGATGGAACTGAACCCCTCCCCAACACACACACACACACACACACACACACACACACACGCCACATATATAAAACCAATTTAAAATGAAACAGAGAATAGAATATACTAACAACTAAAACTTCAAAAATTCTTAGAAGAAAACAGACACTGATTTTCCTGAGTTTCCATTAGGTCATGGTTTTTTAGCATCCACATCAAAAGCACAATAGACGTAGGTAACTCAGTCATCACAAACTAAAATAATAATAATAATTGTTTCTGAGTCAGGGTCTCACTATGTAGGCTGAGCTGGCCTTGGGCTTGGGAGCCTCTGAGTATTGGAGTGTTGGTGGATACCACCAAGTCCAACCAAGTTACAAGCTTGTACACCTCAAGGAACATCATTAAGACGGTGAAGACAACCTTCAGAATAGAACAAAACTGATAAAGGGCCTCACCTAGAATTTCCCAAAAATTTGGACAATTCAATGAAAACACAGCACAATTTAAAAATGGGCAAAGGACCTGAACAGACATTTCCTCAAAGACATAATGACCAATCCACATGTGAAGAGATTGGTTGAACGTCATTAGCCATCCGAGAAATACAAGACACCTGCAGGATATTGTATCAAAAAGATCAACTCAAGGAGAGTGACTTAGTTGGTTAGACTCAAGTTAGTGGCTTAGCAAGCACAAAGCCCTGGATCCCATCCAGTGCTGAATAAATTAGGTGCAGTTAGAAGGGTCACAAGTTCTATTACCCTCTTCTGCTTGGTGACTTAGAGGCCAGACTGAACTCTTACATGAAAGGGAGGGACGGAGAGGGAGAGCAAGCACAGCTTCCGTAGGGTGAGGAGGCAGAGAAACTTAACCCGTCCATTGCTGGTGGGAAGGTAAACAGGTACAGTTATATGGGAAACATGGGGCAGCTTCTCACAAAGAGGCAAAGTTATTGTAGGAACTAAGTACTTTTCCCAACATCTCAATAAAGCTGTTGGCCCCACCCACACACTCGCAAAAGGCAGAGAGCCCAGCCTCACTGTAAGAACAGTTCCTCTGCCTATAAAACTATGTTTGCCAAAACCTGGTGACCTTTGAGCCTAGACGTGTATCCCACAAGAGCTCTGGTGGTCAGAGGGCTCACCATGTTTTGGGGAACGTGGATTAGGAAGGAGTCCTCAGTCTACCACAGCTACCAGTCCTCAGACGTCCCATGGTTAAGAAAGGTGACTTACATGAGAGAAATGCAAATCAAAGATTCCATCTTACACCTGTAAAAACAGCCAAGATCAAAAACACTTATGCTGGAGAGGCTGTGGGGTGAAGGGAACACTCCTGCATTGCTGGTGGGAGTACAAGCTAGTACAGCCTCTTGGATGTCAGTTTGGCAATTTCTCAGAAAATTAGGAAACAACCTTCCTCAAGACCCAGTAATACCACTTTTGTGTATATACCCAAAGGATGCTCAATTGTGCCACAAGGGCATGTGCTCAACCTTGTTTGTCATAGCCAGAACCCAGAAACAACCTAAATGCCTCTTGACCGAAGAATGGATAAGGAAAATGTGGTACATTTATACAATGGAGTACTACACAGAAGAAAAGAATAATGACATTTTGAATTTTGCAGACAAATGGATGGAGCTATAAAACATCATATTGAGTGAGGTAACCAAGACCCAGAAAGACAATTATCACATGTACTCACTCATAGGTGGTTTTTAAACATAAAGCAAAGAAAACCAGCCTACAAACCACAATCCCAGAGAATTTAGACAACGAGGAAACTAAGAGAGACTTACATAGATCTAATCTACATGGGAAGTAGAAGACAAGATCTCCTGGGTAAACTGGGAGCATGGGGACCAAGAGAAAGGGTAGAAAGGGAAGGGAGAGGAAGGAAGAGAAGCAATGAAAAATGTAGAGCTCAATAAAAATCAGTATTTTTTAAAAGGTGACTTAAGCATAGCAACAAGACAGTACCCTAAATAGACACCTACAATTGGGAAAATTAAGACACTCTTAAGTTAGAACAATGCAGAGAAGACACCTCCCCTAGGAGATCTGACCCACCAAGGCTGTCTCAAGGGACTTCCATCAGGCAGTGGTGGCACAAGCCTTTAATCCCAACACTGGGAGGCAGAGGCAGGTGTTCAAGGCCAGCCTGATCTACAAGAGCTAGTTCCACTAGAACTGTTAAATAGAGAAACCCTGTCTTGAAAAACCTAAAAAAAAAAAAAAAGAAAAAGAAATTCCACAAATCCCTCCTGCTGCAGTACTGGGATAGTACCCAGTATTGCATACTTGCTAGGAGCCACGCTCCAAGCCAGAGTTCTAAACTGATGGTCAAGGTCACTGGATCCAATGCAATCCACATCTCTTCGGTATTCTACACTGTAGTACCCCAAGAAGAATCATTTTGTTCTCATCCCGCTTTGCTGGTGAGCAAGTTCTGTGCTATCTCCTCCTAAGCAGTTGCCGCCCTAATTAGCATCTGGGAGAGGTCACATGGGGCAAAAGGTGTGGTGTGAAATACATCATCGGCTCGTGTATTTGAACACGTGGTCCCAGCTGGGGGTGTTGTCTGAGGACGTATGACACTGGGGGTGGGCACTGAGGGCCTGTAACATTGTACTACTTCTTTTTCACATACAATTCTCTCTCCCCTCTGCATCCTTCGTGTATGGAATCTATGACTTTAACACTCTAAAATCCCAAACAAGCCCTGGCTGGTTTAGTTGCCTTTGCCAGGGTACCTTATTATAGCACAGAAAATGAACTGAACACAGTGCCCATGAGAGGTCACACAGGTGCACTGTGGAATCTACCATGTCAAGGCAGAAACGTGCACAGGCTGCTAGGTTTGACTGGAGCAAATCTTTAGAAACAAGGCAACCGAGAAAGAGTTGGAAGGCACAAAATAAATAGCCCCAGTCCTAGTAATTCATCCAAGAACAGGAGAGAGGTCACCACCAGGGTCACCTGGAAGGGACGTCGGCATTAGGGTAGGGGAGCTGTGCAAGGTGTCCCTGGTTGGCAGAGCTAGCCATGAAGCCAGTGGCCCAAGAAGGAGGTGCGGAACAGGGGAAGCATCAACTGAGGAGCCGCCACCTACAGTGTAAGAGATGTATGCCCCCACTGTCTGCCTGGGAAACAGAACGAGGGACTTTTGAAAGCCAAGAGAAGAAAGAAGGCAGCCACTGGCTTTCTGCATGGCAGACTTGGTGTCCACGGCTGTCGTTAGCTTTCCTGGTCTGGGCAGAGCCCCTCCTAGTCTGAGCTCCTTAGGTGAAACAGCAGCTGGCATTGGTGTGACTTCTACAGCCAGGGGTCCATGGGGTGGGGACAGGTGCAGGTGGCGGCTGCTCAGAGTCCACACTTCAGGATGATGTGGTAGCCGTCATTGCTCTCTGCTGCAAGAGAAACACTGGCGTGGGCATGTGTACAGTGGGATCTAGGTGTCCTGAAAGGCGTGAAAGCGTGTATTAACACAAAAACAAACCCACTTAAATAGCTACATAAGGAAGATTATATTTATAGAAGCGGGGATTTCAACCAGGCATTTGTTCTAAATAATTACTGTGTGTTCACATCTGTGAAGAAGTCAAAGGCCAATATCAGGTGTCACTCCTTAGCTCTATCTATCTTGTGTTTGGAGACAGGGTCTCTCGATGGTTTAGAGCTCACTCACCAGGTAAGCTGGGTTGCCTGGCCAGTGAGCCCCAGGGATCCAGGGATTGGTTACAAGCATGCACCTCTAATGTCCAGTTTTTTCTTTTCAATAAAATATCAAGTTTATTCAAATATATTGTTACACATAAAACCCAGAATTTCCAAATGTGTTTTTTGTACAATCTCAGCCTAATAGTAAAGATATAAAACAGTATATAATAACTTACCAGAAAACACTAAAAATTGTCAAGCCTTTAAGGTTATACTCGGCATATCCTTGTTTAGTTTGGAATGTACGTAAGTTTTGGTTAATAACACTGATGAGAACATTCTCCCACCTAATATGGCACGGCATTACTTTGGTTTGTTGATCATCTGGACAAAGAAGTTAGTAGCCCCTTGAAAAACGTCTTAGCTAACATTCTTTGCTAATATTTACATTTAAAAATAGCACTCAGTGTGACCCATGTGTCTGTTAAAAACTGAACACTGTACCCCCTTCACCTCCACTCCATCTTCCAAATGGCCTCTATATATAATAATAATGCTGGATAAAATCTGACCTGTTAAGTGGACCTAATGATTAAACTTTTTTGCATACAGCATCCTGCTGGCATGTATGCCTACATGTAAAAAGAGAGCACCAGATCTCCCATACATGGTCATGGAATCACACCATATGGTTGCTGGGAACTAAACACAGAACCTCTGAGAGAGCCATCTCTCCAGGCTAATAACTTCTTTTCTATTAAAATTGATTTAACTCTTTAAAAAAAATAATGTCCAGTTTTTAAAAAACAAACATGGATCTTGGAGACTGAACTCGGATCTTTGGGCTCGAATAGCAAGCACTCTTATCAACCGAGTGATCTTTGCAGGCACTCTGGTGTTTACAATGAGCCTTCTCACCATGACCCTAGGCCCAAGGAGGCACAGGCAAACTATGGCTTTCGACAGTGCTATGGCTCAGGGCCTGTAAGATCCACTGTCTGTGCATATTCAGGATAGGACTGATGTCGGGACGGGTTTAGTCTCCAGCCTATAGCCCTAGTGAATGATGGTGGGACCTTGAAGGGGTGGAGCCTAGTGGGAGAAAGTGACCTCAGAGAAGACATTGGGTTTTAGCTCTTCCTCCTTAAGCAGAGCAGTTCACCAACCTCACATCATCACAAGCTGCCTTGCCATTGGCCAAATGTGACATGGTCAACTGACCATGGGCTAAAACCTCCGAAACTGAGCCCAGACAAACCAGTCTTCATTGTTTGTTATCTCGGGCATTTCCACAGTATCAGACGGCTAACTGACATAGCCTAGATTCACAGAATGGGGCAGGGAGTGGTAGCAACATAGTCTGGATCCAGTCTCTTGTTCTTCATTTTCTTTAAGACTTGTTTCAGGCTTAATTATGCATGTGTATGTGTGTATGTGCAGAGGCCAGAGATAGGCTTTGGGTCCCATGAAGCTGGAGTAACAAGTGGGTGTGATCCACCAGACATGGGTGCAGGCAGCCAGACTTGGACTTCCCGCAACAGCAATGTGTGCTCTATCCACTGAGCCAGCCTTCGGTCCCCAGGCTACACACTCCTGGTATGTAGGCTCACTCCCAGCAGAGGATAGGCATCCTGACACTATCTCAAGATACCTGGCTCCGATGGACTCTCCAAGCCCCTGATTCACTCTGCTTGCCATTGGTGTCCTTGCTTGGGCTCCCAGAGACCGTCTATGAAAGCTCCAGCACCATGGCCACGGAGAACAAATACCCAGGCCTCCCTGGAGATTGCCTCTCATCCTGTCATGGCCAGGACTAAGTATGAGGAAGCTTGGGCTTTTCTTGTTCCCAGGGGCTGCTCCAAGTTCAGCATCTTGTGGAGGGACTCTGCCCAGGCAGATGCCACCTGCCACCCTATGACAACAGGGAACACAGACCACACTTCAATCAGGAAAGCAGGGAGGGGCTTACCTTTCAACGTGCTGAGCGTAAAGCAAGACTCATCTTGGAAATTCTGAACCATCTGAAAGGCAAAAGAGAGACACGTTCTTCTCAATGGTGTCTTCACAGTACTGCAGGCTGGTGGGGGGGGGGCTGCAGAGGCAGCCCAGTAGGTGCTGTGTGAGCCTGAGGGCGGCACCAGAGCAGCACCAGGCTCCTCTGACCTCCGCATGCCCACGGGCACAAGACAAAAGTTAGTAAAAGACAGAACATTTATTTATTTGCTGGGACATCTACTCTCTGTACTAGACTAAAGGAAGGTTTTATGTTACAACAAAAAATCGATTTTTAAAAACTAAGCACAGAAACAGGCATGGAGAACTAGACAAACCCCTCCCCATGTGCACCCTCAAGACACGCTGAAGAATAGTGAGAGCAACACTATGATGAATAAAGCTCATACCATCCCTGGCACTGCCAGTGGCAGCAGTGTGAGCCAAGTGGGATCTAAGCAATCATGGCACTCAGAGGCAGAGTGAGCCTCAGCTACACACATCAGCATTCATGAATCAAAAGCATACGGTAAGAGTGAAGAAATGGGAGATGCCCCGGAGGAGAGCATGGCTACTCCACACCTGTAAGTTTTTAAAGTAGGCGGAAGAAAGCGGCCTACTGGCGTGAGGACATGGACGGTTGGTAGCATGCTTGCTTTGCAGGAGTTTGATCCCCAGAACGCAGGTTAAAAACCCACCAAATAAAACAGGCATGATGCCGTGGGCTTGTAACTCTGGGCTGGGCAGATGGAAACAAGAGGATTGCTCAGCTTCCCTGAGCAGCCATCACAGCCTACTTAGCCAGCTCTAAGGCATGAAGAGATCCTGTCTCCAAGACCATGGTGGGTGGTGCCCAAGAAACAACAGCCAAGACCATCCTTCCAGTTAAGGAGAAAAAAAGAAACCTTTGCTATACAACACACATGAACAGGCAAAGGTCAAAGATGATGCGCGTCCACAGAGGGGTTCATAACCATCATAGTCTAGTAAAGTGGGTACAGGCACTTGGATACTTATAAAAGTCAGGGCCAGTGAGGTGGGTCAAGCACCTGCTGTGTGAGCCTGAAGACCTGAGTTTGAGTCACAGAACCCACAGAGGAGGGAGAGAAACCACTCACACATAGTGTCCTATGATCTCCATACACACACCACAGCATACAAATACCTGCATGCACACGTGCACACACATGTAAAAACAAGATTAGATTGTATGAAATCTTTGCATGTGTATGCTGCATTTCCCAATATGTACTTCAGAAACAGGTAAAATATAGACATATACATAAACACACACGCCAAAACCAACAAGTAGCAAAGCCCCTTTCAATTAAAACAAACAAAAAAGCAACCCACTTTTTATTGCCTGCTCTGGACTACTGCCTCAAATCCTACAAATGCACCCACCTGTCGACCCTGCCCCTCCCTACAGGGCCTAATGGTGCGTGAAGAACATTTATTCTATACCTCAGCCTGCTCCAGCTCGGACTCTTGGCCGCCCAGCCACTTGGGCATGAAAAAACCAGGGCCCACAAGGGCTTAATCAGTAACTCCCTTGTTTAATTGAGTGCCCTTGCGCCCCAGGGGCTGGCTCCTTGCTGGCCAGGCTGCCTCCAGCACTCTGGGTAATTCCGAGCAGAAGGTTTCCAAATTGATTCGGCTTGAGTGGGAAGGAGACTTGGGGGAATGAGAATGGCCTACTTAGCCAAGGTGGCGTTTGAGGTCTGTTCTCTGCTTCACTTGCTTAACGGCCTGCTGCTGAGGGCACAGGGCAAGTGGAGGAGGGGCTTCCTCGGGGACTTGGGAAGTTGCAAAGCATTTACACTCAATGTTTCTATCTTCTCAAAATGAAATCTTCGGGGGCCTGTGGATGTGGCTCCACTGCTAGAGCGCTTGCTTAGCTAGCAAGTACAATGCCCTGGGTTCCGCCTCCAGGGCTACAGAAACCAGGTGTGATACAGTAGGAGAGGTAATCCCAACACTCTACTACCCCAGCACTAGGGAGCTGGAGGTGGGAAAACCAGAAAGTCAAGGTTATTCTCGGCTACACAGCAAGTTCAAGGCCAGCCTAGGCTACAGATCCTGTCTCAAACAAGCAATTCTCTTGAGGCACAAAGTGGCATGTCTTCTACTCCACTGAGCAGTCTACCCCCTCCAGGGCCTTCCACCGCCTCACTCAGGAACTTCTGGTTCCACTTCCGTTTTCTGTGAAATGGAAGCTGCTTTAAGCTAGACTTGGCAGTGGCACATGGCTGCAGCTTCAGTGCCCACAAGGCAGTGGCAGGAAGACTGCAGCGCGACCACAGCTAGCCTTGTCTACACAGTGAGTGCTGGGCTGGTCAGGGCTCTACACTGAAGTCAGAACAGGACGAAGAAGTGTAACTCCATTAAGCTGGGCCTGTGACACACTTCTGGGACGCTGGCCCTTGGGAAGCAGAGGCAAGCAGAGCCCTGCCACAAGTCAAGGCGAGTCTGGTCTACATCACGAGTTTCAGGATGACTAGAGTTTCATAAAGAGACTTTGTCACAAAACAAAAGCAAAACCAAACCAAACCACAGCTCCCATTCCTCAAGAGGCTGAATCTGTTACTTGCCCAGTCCTCCAACGGCTTCTTCATCTGGGTTTCCACCAGATCTCCACCCCATCTCAGCTGTCACATCGGTGGGCAACCTCTCAGTGTCTCTGTTTCCTATGTGTGACATGGGATCCTAGTGGGGACTTCAGTGTACGTACGTGGAGAGAGAGAGAAAGAGAGAGAGAGAGAGAGAGAGAGAGAGAGAGAGAGAGAGAGAGAGAGCGCAGCAAGGCACAGCAGCATTGGCTGGTTTGGATCTGCAGTGTCTCCCCGAGGCCCCAGTGTTGAATGCTTGGTCTTGGCCTCTGGTGATTCTGGGGTAAGAAGTGGAGCCCAGTAAATAAGGCTTAGTGTTGAACGGGATATGGGGACCTGTGCCCCGCCCTCACCCCCTTCCTTCTTGGTCATACTGAGAACAATATGTTCACTCTCCTACCATGACGAGCTAATATCACCACCAGGCCTCAATAACAGGAAACTGCCAGACCGAAATCTCTCAAACTGTGAAACAGAGTCGTGTGTGTGTGTGTGTGTGTGTGTGTGTGTGTGTGTGTGTGTGTGTGCACCTTCTCTCCGGCACCGAGATTACACTGGGGGATACACCGTGTCCAGCTGTTGATATGGGTTCGGGAGATCGAATCCAGGTGCTCACACTTCAGATGAGCTCTTTACCGAGCCTTCCCCCAGACTGAACCTTTCTTCTTAGGTTTGCGATCCCAGGTATTTGCTACAGTGCCAGAAAGCTAACTGTTTCCATTCTGAACAGTCAGTGGAAGGAAAATCCAGGACGCCACAAGCTTCAGATTATCTGATCCATCATGGGCAAAGGATACCCAATTTGGTGAGCAAGTCTGCTCAACACATCTCTCCTCCTCCCTGAAGGGCTGGGGCAAGGTTCCAACAGGACTCTGTGATTTCCTAGACCTTCTGCTAGCAGCTGCTTCCAGCTTCCTTCCATGGGACTGTGTTGAGCAAGAACAAGCCTATTGGGCCCTGGAGATGGCTGAGCTAATAATGGTGTTTGCCCCAGGTCCGATCTCTAGGTAGCATGTGGTGGAAGGAGAGCACTGACCCAGCAAGCCGTCCTCTCATCTCTGTGTGCAGTGGCACTTGGGCACCCACTCACCCACCTGGCATCCCTCACAAAATAAAGAAATACATGTAATAAAATGTGTTTAATTATAGGGCTTGTTGCCAGTCCCTTATAGAGAGAGGGCAGGAGAAGGGCTCTTGGCTCCTCACGTGAAGCTGATTCTTCCTACAGGTCCCTCCCAGGTTTATGTAATTAGTTTGGAAGGGTAGCTGAAAGAGAGACTCTGGGGTCACCTGCACTCCTGTTAAGTGAACCTAATAAATTAATCAGTCCTGGAATTGTTACTTTAATCTGTGGTTGATGCCCTATCTCAGGGGAGAAGACAGTTGTTCATGCTTCCCCGGGAAAAGTCTCGCGACGTCAATGTGGCAGCCCTTTAGACGCAGTTGTGATCAGAACATCCCTTGCACTGCAGGCGGCTGTTACAGATCCAGCTTTGAGCAAGCCACACACGTAGAAAACACCGAGAACCCTGACCAATGAACTTTCCAGCCCTCCCAACCTGCCTAACGTTGCCATCCTCATGCTGTGGTGGCCCCCAACCACAAAATTATTTCGCTGTCACTTCATAACTTAATTTTGCTGCTATCGTGAATCATAACTCTTGGAGGCAGCGGTTTGATAGAGGGGTTGTGACCCACAGGTTGAGAACCGCTGCTGTAGCGTCTGCTACTATGTGGGGGATCTGGGGCTCCTCCCTAGGGCCAGCCAGGTCAGCTCACCTCATTGCTCACCACCACATGGATGCCAGTGGGGCCCTGCCGGTAAACCCGGTGGATGTGCTGTGGGGGGATGCTGTACAGGCTGGCGATCTTCTCGATCAGCTCCAGGGTGGTCAGCTCTTCCAGGAAGATGGCGTGGTACACTGGAGAGGAGGAGCAAGTGCCTTCTTTAAGGGGCCATTAAATGAACAAGAACCTGTCCCATCATGAGAAGCTTCCGTGTGAGGACTCATGCCCAGAGCCATGGATTCTGCTGGAAGCTGAGGAGGCTGGTAGAGCCTACTGACAGGTAAGCATAGCCTGGCTGGTTTTGTCTCTCAAGAGCACAGACCCAACCAGACCCCAATGTACCCAACTAGGGGAGGGGAGGCCTAGAGGAGCAACGGAATTCAGATGCGGTGCCTGGAGGGCACACCCCCTGCACCACAGGAGGAGAGCGCGCCATGTCACCTTCCAGGGGTTACTCGGTGGCAGAAGGATATTTAAAGACAATTATTAGTGCATGCTGGGGAACCAGCCAACTGAGCACCAGAATTCATTGCTCCGTTTCCTTGCCGTGGATGCCATGTGACCTGGTGCATCTGCCACATGGACTGTGCCCCCAGACTGTGAGTCATAATAGACTTCCTTCCTGAAGTTGCTGTTGCTTGGAGAAAAGTAACTAAAACACCGAGAGCAAAAACTGAACAGACTCAGGAGACAGCTGCAGGCTCCGCCCCACTTACCAAACAGGCTATTGTCCCCGCTGCCATCCTGCTCCTGTGGCAAGGGTAGTCGGTTCTGCTCCATCTCCTGACAGACATAGATGGTCATCTTTGGCCTCACATTCCTGGCAAAAGAAAAGAAAATAATTCACAAATATGATAGGCTGTTGCTCTAGAATGTTCTGGAATGCTCTAGAATGTTCTGGAACCTTGAGTAGAATTTGCAGTGTGGAGGGATTTAGGGAAAGCGGGTGTTAGGGGTGCAGAGTGCTTCTCATGGTCTCCTGGGATAGAATTCAGCGCTGATGGATGTTTGTGGAAACTATTTTTTTTTTCATTGCACAGCTCCTAGGAGGCAGATCTATGGCTCCTCCTCAACTGTGTTCCCTCACTCCACAACTGTGCTGTCTCCAGCTGGCTATTTGGTTTGAACATCAGGGTTCAGGAGCAGCTCAACAACCCAGCACATGTTGGCATACACAAGCTCTGGGTTCCAGTCTCAGTACCAGAAAGAATAAGGAGCACAAAATCTCAGTAGGAACTTAAACTGGGTTTGACTGTGGTGTGAACTCTAGGGCCAAGCAAGTTTCTGGACTGGCATAGAACATTTCGTTTCCATGGCGGTGGAGAGTTCTGTCAGACAGCATCACCGTGAAGATTGCACTGTCTGCTCTCAGCCAAGACTCTGCAAGTGTCCAGACTCTGCGCTACTGACTAAAGGCCAAGATCCACAGGCTCTGGGTCCAATGGAGGAGAGGAAGGTTGTGATAGTTAATATTAATTGAGGGTCTAGAATCATGTAGGGAACAAACTTCTGTGAGGGAGGGAGTTTCTAGATTGGTGTCAGTGAGGTGAGAAGCCCCACCATAAACATAGGCAGCAGCATCTCATGAACCAGCATCTCCTACCCCACACAAAGAAGAAAGCAATTGAACGTTCTTCTCTTCCTCTTTCCTGACTTTAAAGACACAGTGTGACCAGCCACCTCCCGCTACTGCAGCCATGACTTCCTTGATGAACTGTATAGTGAGGAGTAGAGGAAGCCCTGAGTGAATGTGTTTTGTTGCCACTAGTTGGCCGTGCCAAGGACTCAAGCCTCAGACCCATGGGAAAACGGCAAAGCCTTGCCCTGGAGTGGGGCTCAGAGTCCATGTGTGAATACTGATAGTGAGTTCAGAAAATATCCACCATGTGATGTGGGATTCCCCTCTGTATGCTGTGAATATCATTGGTTAATAAAGGAACTGCTTTGAGCCTATAGCAGAGCAGGGTGGGGCGGAGCAGAGCTAGGAGGGGAAGACTGGTCTGAAGGCAGAGAGAAAAGAAGTGGGGGGGTTAGAGAGTAGTCAACACAGATGCCACAGCATAAACAGCAGCCTTGTAGCGATACACAGATTACTAGAAATGGGTTAAACTAAGATGTAAGAGTTAGCCAATAAGAAGCTAGAGCTAATGGACCAAGCAGCGTTTTAAATACAGTTTCTGTGTGGTTATTTTGGTTCTGGGCGGCTGGGACAAACAACCGGTGTCCAGTGTCCTCCAACAAACACCGTGGCTTCACCCCCTTGATGTTTTTCCGGCCTGAAGACTGCTCCCCTACAGAGACTGTTCCCACTGAGGTTAGCTAAACCATCCTTCCTCAGCTGTGCACCATCAAACCTCCTTCCTGCTTATCTGTACGCACTAACCCTTGTTCAGCTGTATGCAATCACCCACCTCTGTTCAGCTCTAATAAACACACTGAGCCTGCCTCCATCAGGAAGCCCAGTCTTTCCAAGCCTGGCTTTCCTGTATGTGTGTCTGTCCTTTCTTCATTCCCCAGTGGCCCCAGTCTGGTCCGTCCCTTGAGCCGTGCTGGATATGGCACTGTACCTTCAAACCACGAGCCAAAACAAACCTTCCTTTTCATAAGCCGCCTTTGCCAGGCATTGTCGTGGCAAAGAGAAAAGGAACTAATACTGAGGTGTTTGTGAGTGAGGACCACGGCAGCCCCGTGTCGCGTGATTTCCACATGGCATCTCCTTCACTATCCACCCTCCCAACGCCTCCTCCAGCATTTACCCGTGCTGGGGTATGGAGGGACTCCTTCCATCAGCTGGCCCCACCAGCAGGCACACCCACAGTTCAAAAGGCTGCGGTGGGGTTTCTTGCTATACACAGGCAGCCTAGTAGCCAGTCTTTGGCTGGCTTCTCTACAACTGGCACTTACCTGCCTTTGATGGCATTGAAGAGTCGAATCCCATCTGCAGGGCCACAAACCTGGACCAAATCATCTCTAGACATTTTCAGCAGGTCAGCACCTAAGCGGAGACATGCAGCACCATTTACATGGCATACACCTCCAGACCCCACAGCAGGGCTGGGGCAAAGTAGGTCCAGCCCCACCCTTAGTGGGCACTAGACATTCCACAGAGAGAAATGGCATAAGGCTAAACAACCCCAGGAGGTCACAGCCGTACAACGTCAGGGCCTGCATGACAGGTATGCACTGCCCTGATTCGCTAAGAGGGCCTGCGGTTTTTAATACTGCCAACATGACAGGATCTAACAAGCCTCTGGGCAAGTTTGTGAAAAGTTTCTAGACTCGGTTAACAGAGATGGGAAGATCCACCCTGAACGTGGGCAGCACCAACCCATGGTCTGGGCTTCTAGACTGAATAAAGAGAGGAAGGGAGTGGAGCTCCAGCATCCATCTTGGTTTCTAGGCTGTGGATGATGACCTATGAGCAGCTGCCTCACACTCTTGCTGCCTTGACTTCCCCGCCTTGAACTCTATCTTCAAACTGTGTAGAGCCAAAAATGTCATACCACAAGCTGTGAGAAAGGGAATCCACACTGAGGGCTCCCCTGGACACAGCCACGGGCCCACGGGACCCTAACTTCACAACGCTTACCCGAGAAGCTGGCGAAGAGCCGGCAGAACTGTGAGAAGCGGTTGCGGTGCAGCCACTGCTGGGCATCCTGGATAGAGGCTGAGGGGAGCAGGTGCTGTGAGTGAGAGAAAGAAGGCTCAACATGGTCACAGAGCCAGAGGGACCACCAGCAAGCCAACACCCATGCATACTTACATCACTGCCCAGGGGCAAGGGCTCCACGGGGTGCGTAGGTGAGCTGTTGCTGTAATGGAAGAGATGGTAGATGAACATGCGAACTTCCAGGGGCATGAAGAAGATTCCAGAGCCTACCTACAAGGTGCCTACATTCCAGCAGGTGTGTGACTGCCTGAATCAGACAAACTGTCCTAATCTCTCACAATGTCTCTTGAACTCACCTGTTACTGCATGGGAAGTTCAGCATGTTCAAGCAACTACTCTACCTGTGTAGTCTGCAGCAAAAACCAAAAAGGGCTACCCTTGCGACGGTTCAGCTTGGTAGGATTTACAATCACCATGGAAACAAACCTCTGCGCATGTCTGGGAGCAAGTTTCTACATCAAGCTAATTGAGGTGGGAAGACCCACTCCACATCTACATCCCATGGGCCGGGGTCCTGAGGTGGGAAAACCCACTCCACATCAGCATCCCATGGGCTGGGGTCCTGGGCTGACTATAAGGGAGAAAGGGAGCTGAGATGAGCATCCATCTCTGCATCCTGCATCCTAACTGGATGTAGTGTGACCAAATGCCTCGTGCTCTGGCTGCTGTGGCTTCTACACAGTGATAGACTGTACCTCCTTGAATTGTGAGCTGAGATAAATCCTTCCTTAAAACACTTCTTGTCAGGAATTTTTGTCCCAGTGCAAGAAAATTTCTGTAATACCCAAGAGTTCCAGTCTAAGGAAAGGACAAGGTGACCAGGCCACACTCCTTACAGGAAATCTGCACCTATGAAGCTGCAGTTGGACCAGAATCATCAACTGAATCCTAGCCAGAAGGGCACATTCAGGGGCACAACCTGAATACACAGGTTGGTACCCAGTTAGGAAGAAAATCATGGCCTGGGTTTTCCCAGTAGGAAGGTACAGAAGTGCTTGCCATGCAAGCACACTCAAGTCCCAACACCCACATGAAAACTCGTGTGGCAGGGCATGCCTCTAATCCCAGTGCTGGAGACGAGACAGAAGCTTTACTGGAGAGCACTGGCCGCCAGTTTCACCAAGTCAGTGAGCAGAAGACACCTGGCATCAACTTCTGGTTTCCACGTGCACACACATACATATTTACGTGCACACACACATACAGTCCCCTTGCAGAGATGACCCTCATCCCAGTCATCAGCAGCCTTCCACTGTCTGTATCACAGGTCCATCGCTGTGTTGAACCCTAGCTCCCTTCTGCATCAGGGAAAGCAGGGTGTAGGGAAGTTAAGGAAGTTGCTCCCCAGAGTGTACACATTAAAAAGCAGGTTTGTCTGAACTAAATGGCCCTTTTCTTTTTATTCTATACTCATGAGAAGATATTTCACAATGGTAAAACCAGGCTCACAGGCAGCCTTGCTTTTTCTTTTTTTAAAATTTTTTTGATCATATCTCCTTTAGTTTGGGCTAGCCTTTAACTTGCTACATAATCTTAAACTTCTTGATCCTCTTCCACCTCCAGAATGCTGGAATCACAGGTGCCACCACACCAGGTGCCGAAGATCAAACCCAGCGTTTCCCCTACCAAATGAGCTCCAGCTCCATCCCCAACACTGATTTTTCATTAAAGACTGCTGAGGACTGCTGAGCAGGGGCTTAAGGCACAAACCACACCGGCTAACAGCATCCAGGCTGGAGTCTCCTCACTACCAGGGCATTACTACAGAGCCATCATAGCAATGTCAAGAGCCTCGGTCTGCACTTGCCAGGGCCTCAAGGCCTATCTGTGGCCAATTCAGCCAAGGTTCAGCAAAACTAGCTTTGGTACAACAAACACGGAAACCCAGGGTGGAGGCTCCTACCTCGACAGTCCCTCAGGAAGCATACACAAGAGTTAGAGAGAAAACCAAGGAGAACCTTCTAAATGCCTCAGCCACCCAGCATCCACCTCAGGTGAACACTGGCCTTCAAGGTAAATTCTCACAAACCCCCCTCTCTCTCTTTCTCTCTCTCTCCCCACATAACCAGGTGTGATGATACACAAGAGGCTGGCAAAGTAGGACTCCAACCAAGTTCCAGGCCAGCCTGTGCTAACCAAAAGCTCAAGGCCAGTCTGGATTATACACAACCCTACCTCAGGAACCCAAGGCTAAATAAGGGAGCTGAGGGTGTAGCTCAGTGGTAGGACTCTTGCCCTGGATTCCACCCCCAACATGGGGGTCAGACAAGGAATAGATAAATATGGCTGCAATTGCTATACCAGTTAGCCACACTAAAACCCAAATAGATGCCAGGCCATGGGATGAAGGAAGTGGACCCAAACAGGAACCTCTACCCCAATGCATGCCAGAACCCCAAGGAAAGGAAGGTTGGACATACCCTTCACCGAGGCCAAAGCTGTTGGGAGAGCCATTATAGCTTGGGGATGGAGCACTGTTCACCTGGTAGGCTACATCAGGCCACGGAGAGCACTGTGGGAAGAGATACAGGACAGTGTGACTCAACAGCTGTCTTAGAACAAGCTCAAGAGAGTGGCCCACGCACCTTAGGTCCTTTGACGTAAGCAATCAGTACTGACATGTCAGCACAGCCCATACTGACAGCACTCACAAAGAGCCATGACCAGCCACACTGCATGGCCACCCAACATGACATGGAGCAGGCAAACCAAGAAGTGCACCCCTTTCAGCTTCCTGGTAGTCAACCCGAAGGAGGAAAGAAGCATCATGTAATGCCTAAACCCACAAATGCAGACAATCAAACCCCAACTAGTCACATATGTTGAAATACATGTGGAAGATATAAGGAAGATAGATAACTTCTAAAGAAGAAAACAGTGCAATTCAGAGCTAAAACCCACTCTATAAAGTGAGGAGACAGCACGCAGGGCAGGGCTGCAGCAGGCTGGAGGGGTCCTGGAATTCTTCCAAGAGTTGTTCCTCCCAGCCAACGTGCACAGTTACTCCACTTTAGGACCCATCTGGGCTCCAAAAGATGGAAACATGTATAATGCGAGCCTTCCCCTGGAGGACATTCCAATGCACAGGCCAGTAGGGGTGCTAGGGAGAGAACACAGACCTCCAGGGAAAGGGAGCGCCCCACGCCTGAGTTTTCTTCCCTTCCCTCTCTCGGAGGCTTGGAGAGGGGCAGCCTGAAGCATTCCTAAAGACTGACTATCCCCCGCCAAATGCCAGGTTGGTAAATATTTAACCATTGTGAGTGTGGGCTGGAATTTGTTGATGCTAAATCCTACTGAGGGAGGAAATCTGATGAGCTGATAGAAGGGGCACGCTGGCATCCCAAGGTCACAGCCTGGATTCTTTGTGCCAGCTACGCTGTGCTGTGGTGAGGGCCTGCACAGCCACAGAGCACACTCTCTTCTTTCAGGGAAGTCAGGATTAGAACAGAGAATTGGGGCTCAGCCAGGATGAGAAACATCACTAGATGGGGTATTCCTGGCAACGTCATCAGCCAGGCATGGACCAGGCATGGGAAGAAACTGCATGAAACAGTCCTTGTGTCCCGCTGGCAGGGAGCATGCGGAAACTTTCCTGTTCTGGGCTCCCTGCCCACTGTCACCCTCAGGAAAATAAAGTGCCAGTACGTACTTGCAAACCTCATTAGCTTTTTATCCAGCTTATGCAAACATGCCTCACATGTGACTTACACATACACACATAGGCATACGCACAGCTAGGACATGGCCTCCCTCCTCTTGGATTTCTATACACAAGTCTCACCATCACCAGAGCCTTGACCTTGCATGGCCATCCTGGGTCTTATACACACCTTCAAGGGGAATCCAACTAGTCAAAAATCCCCAACACAGTAAGGATTGGCTATTTAAAAGAAAATAGGCCAGCAAAAGTAAAGCCAGTGACAGGAAGCAAGGAGAGCTGGCGATGGCTTCTGAGCAGCTCTCTGAACCCAAAGATGGCTGCAGAGGGCTGCTTCTGTGGTGTCAGGAAGTGCATGTCTGTGTCTATCCGAAGAAGAACTAGCCAGTGCTGGGGACAGGCTGGGGCTCAGTGGCCGAGCATTGTATGCACCTGAGATCTTGGCCAGAGTCCAGCTCTGACACTGAATCTTAAATTTACTTGTGTATTTATTGTATTATGTGAGTATATATGGTGTGTGTGTGTGTGTGTGTGTGTGTGTGTGTGTGTGTGTGTGTGTTTGGCATGGCTTGTGGTAGAAGTCAGTTCCTTTTTCCACCTTGGACCTAGGGATCCAGTTGCTGGACTTATGCAGCAAGCACTTTTACTCTACTGAACCATAAGTCTGTGCTTGCTTGCTGCACATTGTGGTGCACAGTTTTAATCCCAGGACAAGAAGCAGAGGCAGGCGGATCTCTGTGAGTCAGAGGCCAGCCTGGTCTGGTCTACATTGAGAGTTCCAGGACAGCCAGGGACACATAGAGGACCCAGTATCAAACAGAAGCCAGGGCCTACACTACCAACCTGCTGTGCACCATGTCCTCGGCTCACTCCAAGCCCACTCCCAGCCGCAGCTCACCTCCGTGAGGATGGTGGTTTCATAGGATGGCTGGTACTTCTCCTTCTCCTGAGCTGTTCTTTTTTCCATCTTTTCCCGGTCGGTTTTCTGTTTCCGGTCAGCTCCCTTTGGCTGCAAGTACAAAACACAGGGTCCCTTGGCTGGGAAAGGAAGACCAAGGCCTCGGGCTCCCACATCAACCTGGCGCCTGAAGAGCAGGCAGGACAGCCCTGCACCTCCCCTGAGGTCTTGAGCCAACTGTTTGGCAGCTCAGTAGGTACTTAGGAAAGATGGCTACCAATGGCCACTTGCTTCTGGGAGGAGCCATGGAGAACCAAGCAAGATGAGAGATATACCACAGTGCTGGGGTGACTGATGGAGGGGAGAGTGCCTACTGGCAGGCAGCCTGTGCCATGCTCACCTCTACTCAGGCCCAGCACACCCAGCCCTCAACTCATCTCAACCTCAATGGTATATCTCTCTCTCCTGTGGCTAAATGGCAGTGCAGAATCTCCGTGATACTCAACAGTGCCCTGGCCTCACAGCCAAACCAGATAGGCTCAGGGCCCGAGCTGCTGGCAGCAGCCTGAGGCTACAGTCCATTCCTTGTCCCTCCCCTATGGCTTCCATCCTGCTTGGCATAAGACTCAGAGCCCCTCAGCCTGAGCAGTTTTATTACACACTTGTGCTATGCAGATACCAGCAATTAGTTCAGGTCTAGTGGCCTCCAGAACTCCCAGGCCAGTGTGTGCCTTCCTCAGGCCATGCCTTTCGGTTCCGTGCTCAAGGGCTTCTAGGGAAGCCTCCTCCGGGTGACACCAGCTCCAGATCAAGACAAGCCTGCAGTGAGCTCCACAGGGACACTAACAGCAGGCAGAGTATTCACTATGTGAACAGATGAAACTGTGAGGGGCCCAGGGTCATGGCAGCCACATCTAGCTCCCTGCTCTAATACCAACTCTAGCCTCTCCTTCTTGCCTCCAGAGGCCACAGGTGAGGTAGGTGTAGCCAGATCGTCAACTAGCATGCATGGGGTAAAGCTCTCCACCGTGTGTCCTTCAAGGGGCTGGCTGGTCAGAACATGTTGGCTTTCTTTTCAGAAACATGACACATCAAGAACTTGATTTTGGGGGGCTGTAAAGATGGCTCAGCAGTTAAGAGCACTGACTGCTCTTCCAGCAACCACATGGTGGCTCACAGCCATCTCTAGTGTGATTTGATTCCCTCTCCTGGGATAAAGGTGTGCATGCAAATAGAACACTCAGATACAGAAAATAAATACATAAATATTTTTTAAGAAAAAAAAAGAACCTGATTTTGATCCCCCTGAAACTATGTAAAAATAAAAAGGCCATGGCATAGTTGGATAAACTATGGGCAAACACTTAAAATTCCAGAGGTGGGGAAGCAGACCAATAGATCCTTCAGACTAATGGTTGACCCCTGACCTCCACGTGCTACACATGTATACTCAACCCCCACATACACATACAAACACCCCTTATACATACAGAGAGAAAAGGTATTTTATAGGTAACATGCCTGCCATGGACTCAAAGTACCAGGACACACAGAGGACGATGGCAGTCTTGCTTTTCTGGGGGTATTAGAGCAGGGAGCTAGATGTGGCTGCCATGACCCTGGGCCCCTCACAGTTTCACTAAGTCAGTTGGGGGGCAGCCTCAACTGCTCAGCCTCCAGGTCTATGGCTATCCCTGCTCAGGAAGAGCAGCCTGAGCCTGCTGTCTCTCTAGCACATCCCTAGCTGAAATCGACTCTTCCCTGGTCTCCAGTGCCACCAGGTTCCAAATTCACCTGGATGTGAAGAAGGGGATTCTGGGACAGATATTAAGGCTGGTCATCTAAAGTGACCTCTAATGGGAGGGGGCTCCAATTCTCTACAGGTAAACAGAAGCAGTTTAACCTGCTGGTCACGGCTAACCTCGGCTCTAAGAATGGCAGGGACCTGATGCACCTTCCATTTCCCTGAGGCCACAAGGGACTGTGGATAAGAACACTGGCTCCCACCTTCAGGAAATAATCCAGACTGAGGAGGTAAGAACCAGCGGTGAGAGACTGCAGGGTGAATCAGGACAGCAAGAGGCTAGATGGTCTTCTGAAGATGTTTCTTTCTAAGATGAATTTGTTTCTCCTGGTACTTGGGACAGAACTCAGGACCTCCTCGCATGCTAAAGCCAACCCTCTACCACTGAGCCCCACACCACCTGAGAGTCTTCTCATTTGTAGAGTTCTTGTGAAATACGCACCATGCAAGTGTGAGAGCCTCAGTGTGGAACCAATACTCATGGAAAAAAGCCAGGTGTGATGACACACACATCTGGAATAATACTGGTGCTGAGGAGGCAGAGACAGGAGGATCCCAGGAGGTCGGGGCAGCCACACTGCATCGGTGAGCTCCGAGTTCAGTGAGAAACACTGTCTCAAAGACTAAGGCAGACAGTGAGCTGGAGAGATTGCTCAGGATAGAGGTGGAGAGATTGCTCAGGTGGAGAGATTGCTCAGCGGATAGAGGCAATGCCTGATGCCATGAGTTCAATCCCCAGGGCCCACATGGTAGAAGGAGAGCTGATTTCTGTCCTCTGACATCTGTAAAGTATTCTCTGTGTATGTGTGTGTGTGTCTCTCTCTCCCTCTCTCCCTCCCTCCCTTCCTCCTCCTTTCTCTCTCTCTCTCTCTCTCTCTCTCTCTCTCTCTCTCTCTCTCTCTCTCTCTCTCACACACACACACACACACACACACACACACCAACCAATGAAGAGAAAAACAGCACTGAGCTGGACCTCCAAGAATGGCCCCTTGGGCTCATGTTTACTTCTTTTTTGTTGTTTTGTCTGGGACAGGATCTCACTCACTTTGCTGCTCTGGCAGGCCTGGAGCTCACTTTGTAGACCAGGCTGGTCTGAAATCTCAGATTAAAGGCACCGGTACACCGGCGTTTACCCTCATGTTTAAGGAGATGCTACATGGGAGATCATATGAATTCCTGTGAAATTCTTGGAGTCTGGGAAAATACAACTCTAAAAAGATGCCAAGTCAGTCATTCTTAACAAAAGCAGAGCCTTGTACTGATGTAGCGAGATACCCCATCCAACACTTTTGAGTAACCAGAGAAGGCTGGGCAGGAACAGGCCCAGATCCACAAGAGAGAAACGCAGGAGGCCACACACCCAGCAGGGTCCATGCTCTGGGCATATAGCAAAGCGCCATTGGCAGGCGGGTTTGATCGGGGTTGGCTTGAACACCTACCTTGAACACCTTGATCTGGCAGCTGGCAGAGTGGAGATGCTCTGTGTATTCCCCATTCTCGTTCTGCTTAAACGTGTCAATCTGCACCCGAAAAGGCACTCCTTTCTCACCCCCATGCTTCCTGGGGGTGAATTCTGTGCTGATACAGTGCACCTGGCGGGGGGGGGGCAGAAGTCAGGGAGGGGAGGAGTCTGAATGCCCTAAGCCTCCTCTCCCCCAAGGACTGACCATCCATGCTTCAACTCCCGGCTCTGTTTAACTTCTCATTAACCCCCACATCAGGTCAAGCAAGGCCTCCCTGCTCTCTATCCATGAAAGACACACAATGTCCACTTCTATCCCTATCTGATCAGCTAAAGCCTTATCATTGTTTTGGTCCACTAAACAGCATCAGTCTTTACCCAGGAACCCATCACTTGGTATATCCTGGACTTGTAGAGCACATTCCTGTTGCTCTCTGAAATCCAGGTATCCTGGTTACTGAGCAAGTCTACAGCCATAGTCAGAATGCCCAACTCATCTCTGTCCTTCTGAGTGCTTACAACAGAGAAGGTGCTGGATACCTGTGTGGTGCTCTGATACTATACTGTTATAAAAGATAGCATTACTGCAATACAAATATAACTAAATTTTGTGACAAGCATATTACTTGCTCTTAAAAGACTCTCAAGTGTGTTCCAAAGTGTGTGTGCAAACACGTGCCTGTGCACCTGGAACACAGATGTTAGCATTGTGGTTCTTCTTCAGCTGCTCCCCATTCAACTTAGCACTCGGAAGGCAGAGGCAGGTGGGTCTCTGGTGAGTTCAAGGCCAGCGTGGGTTACTTAGAGCAGTGGCTCTCAACCTTCCTAGTGCTGTGACCCTTTAACACAGTTTGTTCCTCAGGCTGTAGTGACCCCAACTATACAATTATTTTCCCTGCTATTTTATCACTGTAATTTTCCACTGCTAGGAATCTATCTTTGGAGACAGAGGTTTGCTAAAGGATCACAAGACAGGTTCAGAACCACTGACAGAGTATTCCAGGACAGCCCAGGGCTTCATAGAAACACTGTCTCAAAACAAAAATAGAAAACAAAACGAAAAACCCAACTTGTTACATTTTTATTCACTGTGTGTGTAAATTTGGGTGGGTGAGTGCCTAAGGCCAGAAGAGCTTTTGACAGTCAGCTCAACCCTTTATTATCTAGGTCCATGGAATTAAACTCAGGCCATCTGGCTTAGCACCGGGTGCCTGTACCTCAGGCCATCTCATGATTCCAAATACTTATTTTTCTTTAATGGTGTGTGTGTGTGTTTGTGTGTGTGCGCGCACGCGCGTGTACACAGTGCGTTTGTGTGCATCTACATAGAGATTAGAGATCTACTTCAGTCTACCTTGATGTTCTAAGCCAGGGTCTCTCCCAGGCCTGAGACTCACTAACTGAGCTAGGCTGGCTGCACTCACCTACTCCCCCCCCCCACCCCCCGCCCCACCACCATTCCAGTCTTTCTTATATGGAGGATTGAACCCAGGTCTGTAGGCTTTTGTGATGAGTACTTTACAGACTGAGCCATCTCCCTAGCCTTGAAAATACCAAATCTTTTTCAACCTCACAGCATTCTGTAAGCAAGAACCCAAACATAATTCCAACATTCCAAGTCCTCGCTTCAGCCTCCTGACATGCGACCCTGAGCCCACCCATCCTTTGTCCTCCCTCAGCTATATCCCTCCAACAGGCCGATGGGTGCTTCCCAAAGCTCCCAGGTTTGCTTACCTGAATGAATGCAGATGCTCTCTTTGCCGGATCCCACAAAAACTCCACAGCATTCAGTTGGGTTGGGCTGGCCCTGGGGTCCAAGATACCAACAGACAGTGGAACATCTGCACACACACACAAAGTGCGAAGTCAGATCCTAGATCCCAGATAACCCCGCTGCTGATCTGAAACTAAGTTTCAAATCTCTGCTGGCAGACAGCCTGGCAGGAACTGCTTGATGCCTCCATCCTTTCTTATGGAAAGTTCCTCTTGACTTCCATGTGGAAGGGCTGGCTGTGGCCCTGGTTTGCACACCCTATCATCAATGCAGCTTTTCCCAAAGCACAGCTGAGGGCTGTGGAAGCGGGGCGGTCAGTACCTGAGCCCTCCAGCTCTGTGATATGCCCACCCTTCCCTTGCCACTCATCAAAATCCTTGAGAGAGCCAGGCATGGCGGCACATGATGCACTCAGGAGGCAGAGGCAGGTGGATTTCTGTGAGTTTGAATTCGACATGGCCTACAAGAGTTTCAAGCCAGCCAGGTTGACTGGCCTTAGAGAACGCCCTGAGGGCAGCACCCAGTGAGTGGCTTGGGTCACCAATGAAAGCTCCTTTCTCCTTCCCTCCCTCTCCCTGCTGCATATGTATATTTGGGTATTTGTGCCAGTGTGTGCGTGTGCGCGCATGGACACATACAAGCACATACATGACGACCACCCTTGGGTGTTTCGCCATAGTTTTCAGAACAGGGTCTCTCACTGTGTCTGAAGCTCATCAACTCAGCTCAGCTAGCCAGACAGCAGGCACTAGGGATCTGCTTGTTTCTGCCTCCCCAAAGCTGGGATCACAAGCGCTTGTCACCACACATGGCTTCTTTTTACACAGATTCTAGAGATTGAACTCAGGTCCTCATGCGTGCACTTGGCTAGCGAGACATCTCATCAGTCTCTGCCTGAGCCATCTCCAGTGCTGGGACTGCATGCATGTGCCGCCATGCTGGGCTTCCCTGTGAGCATAATTCCAAGTGGCATTCACAAAGAACCCCCACATGGCCCAAGTGTTCATGGTTGCCACTGGCTGGGGAGACTCACCAATGTCCAGGATACGGTCCCCAGGCCTGCTCCACCGCCAGCCCTCCAACTGCTGGTGCTCCGTGTACTGCAGCCGGCGGTCATGAAAAACTACACGGATGATACTCTGTGGAAGGCAGATGTCGGAGGTGACTATGTGCAGGGACTGAGGGGCCCCAAGAAAAGCGGGCCTCCCTGTCCCTGACCAGGAAGAGCCCGCCACCCCCTCCAGACAGACCCTTTTCTTGGGAACCCTAAGGACACGGACAAGGGTAAGAAGGGTGCCGCTGCCTTCCATGGCTCCTGCTATTCTGAGCAGCTTCACAAACACGTCTAACTAATGCACTATTCTATTATTCATGCAGGGAAGAAAGGCTCAGTGGGGGGCAAAATGAGGCAACCCAGAGCACACTCCACCAACACAAGCCACGCTACCCTGGTCCACTGCCTACCCATTCCGTGGGGACAGTACACTCCAGAAACTGGGACCATCCCCAGCCCCCAGGCATTCAGACCCTCCTCCAGCAAGTGAGTGTTCACCCACCTTCAAAGTACTCCCCCTCCAGCATGCAAGTGCTCCCCCACCTTCAAAGTACTCCCCCTCCAGCATGCAAGTGCTCCCCCACCTTCACAGTACTCCCCCTCCAGCATGTGAGTGCTCACCCACCTTCACGTATTTCGTATTCAGATCTTGGAAGTCCCCTAGCTTCCGATTCTCCAGCAGTCGGATTTCATATGACTGACCTGAGGGAGAATGGAAATACATTTTCCATTTCTTTCTGTAACTTTATTTTGAGACAAGATCTCAGTAGCCTTGGCTTGGCTTAGACTGCTGTGTAGGCAAAGAGGAACATGAATTCCCAGTCCTCCTGTTTCTGCCTCCCAGCCACAGCCAGTTTATTCACGGGTTGCAAGGCTCCAAGATCGGGTCCACATACTTGCACGGCGAGTACTTTACATACTCAGTTAAAATTTTAATTTATTTTAAAAAACCAATTTCTCAGAACCAGAGAGATAGCTCAGCAGTTCAGAGCACTGGCTGCTCCTCCAAAGGACCTCAGTTCAATTCCCAGCTTTACATAGTGGCTCACAACCATATATAACCTACAGTTCCAAGGATCTGGCCTCTGAAGGCAACAGGCACACATATGGTGCACAGACATACATGCAGCCAGAATACCCATAAACATAAAGTGATTTTAAAAAGTTAAAAATCAAATTCTCCGTCAGGCATGCTGGCTGGCACTCATGGGGGCAAAGGCAGGCAGGCCACTATGGGTTACAAGCCAGCCAGGGCTACACAGTGAGACACGGACTCAGAATAAACAAACAATCCATTCCTCAAAGTTTCATTTTAACATGAACAGCTTCTATGAGCAGCTTACCAGGGAAAGAGTTCCCCAACCTGAAGTCAGAGACAAACAGGAGACACGGCTCTAAAGTCCCATGTATACAATGTGAACCTAAAACAAGGCAGTGTCAGCAAGCCCGGAGACTACTGGACAGCTTCACAGGCATGGATGTCTGTGTACCACAGGGCAGCCTAGAATCCCAGTGTAGAGCTGAGGCAGGAGAGAAGGATTGGCGGTTCAAGGACAGCACAAGCCTTGTGAGATTCTTTGTCAAAAAAACAAAACGAGGAGCTGGTGAGGTGGTAGAAGCAAAGAACAAACTTCCACAAGATGTCTTCTAACCTTCACTCACACACACACACATTCACACATGCATGCACGTGCATGCACATAAAACATTTTAAACAAAAGAGGCAACTAGTCAGATCAATACCTACACCCTCCTTCATCCAGTTATGGAAACGGGAATGTGGCCTTAAATTAGGACAGACAATCTGAGCAGATGATTAAACTAAGGATTCTAAGGTAAGGGGACAATTGGAGAAAAGCCTGGGCCCCAAATCCAATGGCGTGTACAGTGACACACAGTGACAGAGAGGGAAAGGAGACTATCAGAGTGGAGGAAAGTGACGTGGCCACAAGCCAAGAACTGCCTGGAGACGCCAGAAGGTTAATGGACAACAGTGGCTCCTCTGCCCAAGAAACAGCCCAGTTCCCTGAGATGCTTCTCTTCCAGGCTCTGAGCTATGAGAACCAGCTGCCAAGGAAACAAGCCAAGCGAGGATGCCGGAATGGGCACAGAACCGGAAATCAAACCATTCGGTGCAAATATTTGCTGAGTAACAAGTACACAGGGAGCACTCTGCAAACCCTGGGGCTTTGAGAGTGAGTGGAAGGGCCCCAGCCACATGTGCACCAGATTCCTGACCACAGTGGCTAGGCCTGGACCCGATGCTGGCCGTGTGGAGGTCAGAGAACAACAGCTGTCCTTCCTCGGCCATCAGTCAGTCTGGTTTTTGAGAGTCTCTCTCACTGGCCGGTGGCTTGCCGAGTTGACTGGCAAGCTGACTGGCCAGAGAGCCCCATAGACCTACCTGTCTTTGCTGCCCTCGAGCTTGACCTACAAGAGAGTGCCACCATGGCCACCATGCTCAACTTTCCTATGTGAGTGCTGGGAACCAAACTCAGCACCAAGCATTTTTATCAGTTATGTTCTTAGCAACTCAGACATTTAAGCTCCGATTCTAGGCCCCTGAACCAAGAGTCCAGCACTCCCTTGGCCTGGACATACTGAGGGCCTTCCACACCCTAACTGGTTTTTCCAGTGTCCTTGCCTTTGCTGAAGAATGTAGATGGTGTTTGGCAGAGGCCCAAGGCCCAAGTGGTCATTACATGCATTTACAGGAGCCCCAGGGAGTCAATTAGCTCTGGCCCCAGGCTCTGCAGGGCAACCTCTACTCAGGTCAAGCAGAGGTAACTCCGGCCAGTAGAGAAGTGTTTCCAAGTCTGCACCAAGAGGCAGCACTGGCAGGTCGGACCCACTGCGCGGATTGTGGGCCAGGATCACATGGTGAGCTTCATCACAATGGGAATCCAGCCTATGCTCTTCCCATGCCATCTTCCTGGTCTTCCCCATCTCAAACATACTGCCAAGGATGCTCTCTAGCTGCCCCCTCCAAGTCAGCCTGTCCCATGTGTGCCTCAAGGCTAACACACTAGGACCAGGCTGTCCTCCCACCCCTCACAAGCTAGCTGGTGAGCATGGTCACATAGACCAAATTCACCTTGGGTGACTTGACCAGTACTATTTTGTACGCTTTTGCACTCGCATGGGCAGAAGGTTCTCTGACGGCCCGGACCATGTCTGAGGTCTCTGTGTAATTGTTGGGGGGTTTATTGCTGTTGTTGTTTTGAGGGGAGGGTTGGTTTCCAGGCTAACTTAAAATTGGAAGACTCTCCTGCCTCTGCCTCCCCGAGTCCTGAGATTAAAAAGGTGTACACCACCACCGTCTGGCCTAATGTTTGCTCACAGATACAGTTGGCACACAGTAGGTGCTGTGCAAAAGAGTGTGTGATTTCATACTCTGGTGTGTACATGCACATACTATATGTATATTAGTGTTCTTATATGCAAAATATATGTATATTGCTCTTGTGTGCAAATGCGTGCACATACATGGAAGCTAGACGGTGTCCTCCCTGCCAACCTCCTTATCTTTTGGACTGGTTTGGTTTATGGCTTGTTTGACTGGCTGGTAGATTGATATTATTTTGTTTGAGACAGGTCTCTCTTATATAGCTCTGACTGGCTTGGGACTTCTATATATAGAGCAGGTTGGCCTTGAACTCATAGAGATCTGCCTGCCTCTGCCTCATGCCCAGCTTTTCATGTGGGGTCTAGGGCTCCACCTCAATCCTCATGCTTGCACAGCAAACATCTTTCCAGTTGAGCCATTCCCCCAGCCCTGATTTTAAATTCTGTACAATGCTCTTCTGTGTGCCACAGGGTTTAACACACTCTGGCCCTCGAAGGTTTGTGATTTTCCAGGTACCCAAACAACACAGGGAAAAGGAATTTGGAAGGCCGGGTCCACTAGTCCTGACTATGACAGGACACGTGAAGCAAGGCTGGAGGATGTGGGGAGCACCGGGAGGGTCAGGGTGTCCATGGTCAAGGAAAGGGACAAATGACAGAAACTCCAAGCAAAAGCCCAGCAAGGCATGGGGATTTCTCTGGAGAATGATAGACAGCTTCACTCATGGGAACATACGGCTGGCAAAGACTCCTGGGATAGTTATTGATTGGTTGCCAAGGTCTCTCAACTGGCCAATAGCAACAGAGGTTCCCAGGACAAGCTCAACACCTAGTGACAGGGCCAGACAGTTGTGTGTGATTTTCTTTCAACTGTTCCTATTGGTTATGTGCTTAAGGCTACCCCAACTACCTTACAACATCTTTCTGCCAAGTTAAGATCTTTTCCAACATCCCAAAAGATCTGGGATCCATTTGAGAATGGAGAGAAGTCTTATAGGAAATGAAAAATTTTGATCTCAGAGTTATGAAACACTTGTTATTCGTCTGTTTCTGACATAGTGGTCCCAGATAACTGCGAATGACCTTGAACTTCGTTTTCCCCACCTCCACCTCCAGGGTACCAAGATCATACATCACCCTCAATCTATGGGGTAATGGGACAACAAGTTCAAATCCCCAGCTTTGTTCATGTCAGGTGAACACTCAACCAACCAAGCTACACCGTCAACCACTTGTGGCTTTAAACCTGGATCTATATTTTAAGGCGCAATCACATGTAAGGAAGCATAATCGTCAGACGGTGCAGCACTCTGGGAGGCAGAGGCAGGTCAATCTCTGAATTCTAGCACAGCCAGAGCTAGAGAAACCCTGTCTCAAAAAGCCAAAAACCAACCAAACAAACAAACAAAAAAAATCAACCAACCAACCAACCAAACAAACAAACAAAATAATTATGCACCATAAGCAGATACCAATGGGGAGCCAGTTCTTGCGGGGTCTCTGAGGAGTCCACCTCCCCATCCTGGTCTCCATTTGCGGCCAGCAGGGAATCTGATGCTGGGAGTCTGAGGGTCCCAGTCTCAGAGGAGGAAGTAGATGAAAAAAACAGGTGGTGACATCAGAAAACAGCTTCAAGGAAATTCCCTGAGAAGACCCAGCCCTTTACTTGCAATTGTTAAAAGCCTGCCAAAGGATGCAGGGAAGGAGCCCCGGGTCACTTTGTGTTCAAACTAGCCCTTGGCAGGCAGCTCCCAGCCCAACCCAGGGAACCAAGGTGACCTGGGAGTAGCAGGAACTCAGGCAGGACTCAACACCACCCACTCACGGTGGTGGCTGAGCCGGATGGCCCCTTCCTTCTTCAATCTCTGGGCTCTAAGGAGTACTGTCTGTCCCTCCCAAAGAGGGGTGGGGACTCCCTGAAGTAATTTAAGTTCAGTCCAACTTCATCTCTACCTCAGAGGGATGACCTGGAACATGCTCAAAGGGGCTGGGCCTCCAGAAAGGGCATGGAAATCTCCAGGTTCTTTGTTGGCTTTGCCTGCAAGCCCCCTTACCCTTTCCTTTCCTTACTTGACCTATGAGGACAGGCGACAGAAGGGGTAGTGAAACACACACACACACACACACACACACACACACACACACACACAGTAAATCTTAGCTTCTTCTTAAAGCAGCAGTTCTCAACCTGTGGGTCACAACTCCTCTGGGGTCAAGTGAGGCTTTAACAGAGGCTGCCTAAGACCATCAGAAGATACAGATATTTGCATTACAATTCATTACAGTAGCAAAATTACAGTAGCAATGAAAGTAATTTTTTTATGGTTGGGGTCATGACATGAGCATCTGGAAGGCTG